ACTGGGAGGGACTGGGAGGGAACTGGGAGGGACTGGGAGGAACTGGGAGGGAACTGGGGCAGCCCCCAGTCCGGGCTTCCCCCGCTGCCGGGGAGATTCCCAAAAAAAAACCCCAAAAGGCTCAAAATTCTGCCCAAATTGCGCTTTATTGGGACTTTCCGCAATAAATTATCCAGGCGGTCAATAAATTATCGGCCCCGCCCCAGAACCGGCGGCTTCTGGGCCGTGGGGATGCCATAAATACACAAAGCTTTATAAAAAACCGGTACAAACGTATAAAAAATATCTATAAAGTCCGCGGAGTGGCAATAAAGTCCATAAATAAGGCAATAAATAAAAGCGGCTTCTCGCAGCCCCTGCGGGCTGAGCTCGGCTGTTCCCCCGGGTCCGGACCGGTCCCGGCTCCGTCCGTCCCTTGTCAGTCACTCTGAGCCCGAATTATCCCAACTCCACCCATCCCTGATCAAACTATCCCAAATTATCCCAACTCCACCCATCCCTGATCAAACTATCCCAAATTATCCCAAATTATCCCAACTCCACCCATCCCTGATCAAATTATCCCAAATTATCCCAATTCCATCCATCCCTGGTCAAATTATCCCAAATTATCCCAACTCCACCCATCCCTGATCAAATTATCCCAAATTATCCCAAATTATCCCAAATCCATCCATCCCTGGTCAAATTATCCCAAACTATCCCAAATTATCTCAAATTATCCCAAATTATCCCAACTCCACCCATCCCTGATCAAATTATCCCAAATTATCCCAAATTATCTCAACTCCACCCATCCCTGATCAAATTATCCCAAATTATCCCAAATTATCCCAACTCCACCCATCCCTGATCAAATTATCCCAAATTATCCCAAATTATCCCAAATCCATCCATCCCTGGTCAAATTATCCCAAACTATCCCAAATTATCTCAAATTATCCCAAATTATCCCAAATCCATCCATCCCTGGTCAAATTATCCCAAATTATCCCAAATTATCTCAAATTATCCCAATTCCATCCATCCCTAATCAAATTATCCCAAATTATCTCAACTCCACCCATCCCTGATCAAATTATCCCAAATTATCCCAAATTATCCCAACTCCACCCATCCCTGATCAAATTATCCCAAATTATCCCAAATTATCCCAAATTATCCCAAATCCATCCATCCCTGGTCAAATTATCCCAAATTATCCCAAATTATCCCAAATCCATCTATCCCAAATCAACCCAAATTATCCCAAATCCATCCATGTCTAATCAATCATTCTTATCCCAAACGATCCTAAATCCACCCATCCCTAATTAAATTATTCCAAACTACCTCAAATTATCCCAATTCCATCTCTCCCTAATCAATGAAAGTTATCCCGAATTTTCCCAACTCCATCCATCCCTGATCAATCCAGATTATCCCAGTTCCATCTCTCCCTAATCAATGACTCCGAATGATCCCAAATTATCCCGATTCCATCCATCCCTAATCAATCCAAACTATTCCAATTCCATTTCTCCCTAATCAACTCTAATTATCCCAAATCGATCCCAAATTATCCCAAATCCATCCGTCCCTAATCAATCACTCTGATCCCAAATTATCCCAAATCCACCCATCCCAAATCGATCCAAATCATCCCAAATTATCCCAAATCCACCCAGCCCAAATCGATCCAAATCATCCCAAATTATCCCAAATCCACCCATCCCAAATCGATCCAAATTATCCCAAATTATCCCAAATCCACCCAGCCCAAATCGATCCAAATCATCCCAAATCCATCTGTCCCTAATCAACCACTCTGATCCCAAATTATCCCAAATCCACCCATCCCAAATCGATCCAAATCATCCCAAATTATCCCAAATCCACCCAGCCCAAACCAACCCCTCTGAACGCTCCCAAACCCCCTCCCCTCTCATCCCCCCCCTGCACCCCGAAATACACCCCAGCACCCCAAAATCCACCCCAGCACCCCGAAA